AGGTATTTATAGAGCAAAGAGGCGGTCCGGGGGACACCCGAGGTGGGCACAACCCACCAAGGCGCGCATGGGCCTCTTGGCACGCCCTGGTGGGTTGTGCTCTCCTCGGAGGATCCCCAAGCGCAGCCTTGGCCCATTAGGTGTCTTCTGGTCCATAAAAAATCTCCGTAAAGTTTCGTGTCATTTGGACTCCGTTTGGTATTGATTTTCTGCGATGTAAAAAACATGCAAAAAACAGCAACTGGCACTTGGCACTATGTTAATAGGTTAGTACCAAAAAATGATTATAAAACATCCAAGATTGATAATATAACATCATGGAACAATCAAAAATTATAGATACATTGGAGACGTATCAGTAGCACGGGTCCTCACGCTACTGATACACCTTAGACTCGCGCTACTGCTAGGCTTTTCACTAGTAGTGTTCAGTCACGCTAGGTTCCTTACCATGACCTTTGTTTTTCCGCCCTTTGGGTGCCCGTTTGGTAGAAACTTCATGTGGATCACCAACAAACACATGATCTCGATTGGGCACAAAATCATCATCATCTGCAACCCTATGTTGTCTCACATATTCATCCTCCTCAACATCCTTGTTCGCTATTACATCCTCCAGAGCAGCCTTCAGTTTGTCAAATAGAAATGGTTATGACATGCCGCATGAGATGCTTTCGTAGATAAGATAGTCAACTCACTATACTAGTTCTCTCCTCAGTACCTGCCCATCCACACACAAAGAGATCGCTAGTGCGCTTCATGGGCAGTCCACCTCTAGCATTTTTGGTGAATCTTCGCATCACTAAGCACTTAGGTAAGTCCTTCATGTTCAACCTGGCCAAAACATAAAGAACATGCTTGCATGGGAGACCTTTACGATTCATACTATCACAACTGCACTTCACTGTTTCTTCCGAGTTACCAGGTGTATAGTCCACTTTGAATCTGAGTTGGTTGTTATTTTTCCATGCCACTATGAATCTCCGACTGACGGCTCCATTGAGTCTATCTATGATCTCAAGTTCCGCTACCTTCTTCATATCTTACTACATGAGGTAAAAGTTGACTGCAGTGAAGTCATGGGTAGTGGCTTTCTCAATGTGTTTAAACTCGTCGAGTACTGGTACTGGGAGTGCCTGTGTGGCCATGCAGACGTCGTACGACTCATTTTCATGGAGCCGAACAATGCAGTTCTCGTAATGCACAACCATGTCAACAATTGTCATGCCAAAGTCAAGATGCATATGAAGCCAAGAGTCCAGAATCTTGCTCCTATGGTTACTCTGCATACCAAGGAAGAATCCACCGGCCAGATATGATGCAGCCCAATGCCTTTTCTTCCTGTGCATCCTACGCAACCAAGTTTCAGTTTTATCCGACTCCCATTTAGCTTTAAACGCTGCCCATCTCGCCTCAAACTCTTCATGTGTAGTAGCATAGTAAATAAGAGACCTGAACTTCTTAAGGGACTTGTGGTGAAGGTGTTTGTGCCTGTTCTTCTCTATATGCCACGAATAAAGTCGATGCCAGACGTCCGTAAGGACCTTCCTGATGGCCCTTATCATGGTTGCGTCTCCATCAGTAATTACAAACCTTGGCTTCTTCTCACGGTGAGCTCTCAAGAAGGTCTGCAGCACCCAAAACGTATCTTCGATCTCATCGGACACAACACCACAACCGAACACAATGGTGCAACGATGACTGTTTAGACCCATAAAAGGTATGAATGGCATTCCGTACCTATTCATCTTATAGGTGTTGTCGAATACGGTTACATCACCAAAGCCAGGGTAATCCCGATGTGACTGAGAATCACACTAGAAGAGGTTCTTGAGCTTGCCTTCTGCGTCAACAGTGTGCTCAAAGAAAAAGTCTGGATCCCTCGCGCTTTCTGGTCATCATGATCCCAATCGCAGTGTCATCATCACCCTTTGCTAGCAACTTCATTTTTCCCCTATGGCACATGTTATAAAGCTTCCTACTTCTGAAACCAGCCTTCGCATATGAGCCATACCTACTGATGAAGTTGTCAAAAATCATATGTTTTCTGATCCCAGCACCTGACATAGCTAAGATCTCGAGCTTTTGATATTCCTTTATCTAATTATGTGACCGGAGATAGTTAACTTCGTCCGGTCTAGAAAGAATGTGACTATGATCATCACTGAAACTGTTGACATACCAAATTAAGCGCTCTCTATCAAGATTCACTATTAAATGCAAATTAAGCGCTCTCTATCAAGCTTCACTGTTAAATGCGATTCGTAATAACATCGACTCTCCGGTCTCAACCTTCGCTTCCTCCCTTCCATGGTACAAAACCTGGCTTGTCCTCTGCTAGCCCTCGAACACACAAACCTCCTCAAGCGCATTGGTGTGTCGACACCCTTCGTGTATTTCAGCTTGTCCCTCCTAATGTTGAATCCATGATTTTTCGCATGCTCATTATAGAAATCATATGCCTCCTCTTCTGACCTGAACGTCGTGGCCATCACCTTCTGTCTAGTGAGTCTTACTGGTATTCATTGTAGCCAATGTCAAAATTACACTCATCACCATCAGCATGCTCATTGTCTCCGCTTCGGCCACCGTCTCCCTAAAAAAATACATACAAGCTTGTATGTTAGTAAGTTGTTGTATGACGACTATCATGTATATACACTTTGCACTACTTACTTTGCTCGAGCTCTCATTGTAAGATGCATCGACATCGTTCTGATCATTGTCATCATCGAATATATTCCAATCATAGTACCCTTCCGCATCCATCTGCACAAATTTAAAATATGACATATATTAGTTGATGCGTTCGTCGCTTCACTCCTTACCCTGCATAATTTAAAACTTACCTGGCTACCGCTTTCAGCATATGAATCATCTACATCCATATCCTCATTGTCATCATCCTCACCTACCTGTACAAAGTCAAACAAGTACATGTCAGTGTCACCGCGGTTGTTTCTATTTAGTATGCTTGATAACGTGCACAACACTTACATTGCCACTGTAAGACTCATCCAAATTCCGCTTCCCTGGTATGTTCGTATACATCCAATGACAATGTTTCTTCCTCGCCACCGCTATCATCGCCGTCATATCCGATTTCTGCCTCCATCTATACACGTTTATATATAATCTTAGATCCATTCAAACAGCACGTAACATCATCGGAACTATAACCAGTTTTCAAATCACTATGACCAAGGCTCGCGTACCTCGTTGCCGCCATTAGAAATGACAACAGCGTTGATGTTGGCCGGTGATGAAGGACCGTGGGCGAACAACACGTGGAGCAGACGACTGCGGCGGCGTCTGGCAGACCTTGGCGGTTGTGGGCGACGACTTCGCGCAAACCGCGTCGAGATTAGTGGTTATTGTCGGCGGGGCCGTAATGGCGACGACGCTGGCGACTATATTTCCCCGTCGGCCAAATACCACCAGAGATGGCAGCGGCGGTGGCAGAGGCGAGAGGAAAACAGGGTTTGGCGATCGGGTTTTTCTTTTCGAACGGGGCGGGCATACACAGCGCGAGGACACACTGCAGGCGGGCGGTTCGGCGTACACTGGTCGGGCGGGCGGCCCTACGTATGCGACCGGCACGTACAGCGGACGGGTATTTCCGTACGGCATGTGAAATGACTCCCCCTGCCCCTTATACGTTTTGGGGGGTGGGGTGGGG